AGCAGTGACTCCATCAGGACCTGGGCTTTTCTTTGTTGGTAAAGTTTTAATTATGTTTTCAATTTCACTGATTATAATTGGGGTGTGTTGAATTTTTATATCTTCTTCATTCAACTTGGTAATTCATATGTATCTAGAAATCTGTCTATTTCTTCTGTGTTTTCCATTTTATTAGAGTACAGGTTCTCTAGGTAGATACCGATGATCCTCTGGATTTCTGCTGGACCTACCTGTTGTGACTTCACCTTTTTCATTCCTTTATTTGATACACTTAAACAGGCTTTTCTTTCCCACCACTCACTATAACTAAACATTTATATTTTCATTCTTTTTTTCCTCTTATTCCTTCCCCTTCTTGTTTCCTATAAGAAACTGTGTTCCAAACTGTGTTCCATGAATATGCTGTAAGTTCATAAGTACATCATAAGAAGAAAAGGCAAGAAGGAATTTCATGTTCATATAAGCTTTAAAAACTCAGCTGGTCATTTAGCTCAGTGGTGCCACTGCCTGCCTCACAAGTGCAAGGTCCTGAGTTCGATCCCCGCTACCAATAAATAAATAAATAAATAAATAAGTAAGTAAGTAAGTAAGTAAATAAATAAATAAATGACTCAGTACACCAAAAAATGTTTCTAGGAAATCCATAATACCAGCATCCTCTGAGAATATTCCAGTAACAGAACTGGTCAGTTGGATCCACTGAATATAAGAATTAAATTTATGTTCCAGCCCTTAAGTAAGTTATCTTTACTTGGGGCTTGAAACATCACACATTAAATCTTTAATATAGATATTATTGCAATATGAACAAACCAAATGAACTTAATTATACAGCTATTTTATTTTCCTTCCACCTAGGTACAACACTTAGAATGATTTTCTATGACGAGAGACTAGGAAACCATACTTTAGGCAGAGAGTACAACTGAATAAGACTCGGAAAGCAAAAGCTGCACTGATGAAAATTTAATACTGGCCTTTGCATTCAGTTGTCTCGTCAAGTTTTACTCACCAGTGGCTGTGCCTGTTGATTAGGTCCACATCTCTTTTACTGAAAAGTTTTTTCAATTATGAATGAAGGAAATTTTAAAGATGGCAAGAAAATTAAATTTCCTTTAGAAATTGTAAGTGTAGTTTCTCTTACTCGCTCTTTTTAAAAGTGTGAAGGCCTCACCACCATAGATTAGTGAGATGCCTCCCTCACTCCCAATCAAACCCCCTTGGAGCTACTATTCACTTAAATATGCTTTAGATGTCTTAGCTGTGAGAAATAATAATCATTATCTGCTTGTTTGCACTATCATATGTTTTTTAATTTCATCACTGTTGCGATGCTTTTGGCTGGAGTCAGTGGTATATCAAAGCCTCTGTTTTATTCTCTCTTACTTTCCAAGAAGAAATTCTATTTTTCCAGTTTAGACTTGCGGTATTTGGAGTTTCTATAGAACACAGTGTTGGTGGTCAGGAGAGAACACAGAGCTGAGAATGGTGGTATGAGGCTGAATGGAACGATAGAAAAATGGAAGCCACGGAAAGAACTAAGACCTAAGAAAGCAGCAGAAAAAAATGAGGGAGAGGTTAAGGATAGACCATGGGAGGGTACTACCATTTTAGATTTGGTGGAAGAAAAGGAAAAATTAAAGGAGTTTTGGAATAATCATCATAAACAGGTTAATGTAGTATTTTTAAAGAGAATGGGAGGACCTCGGTCAACTTGTACTCTCACCCCCAAAGTCATGTAAAAAAAAAAAGAGAAGAGCAAATAGGAAGTTAAAAAAAAGAGAAAGAACTAAGCACTTACCACATGCAAGGCATTTTACATCTATCAGGTCATTTTGCTAATTGCAAGTTTTAAGTATAAAAGAGTGGTTATATGTGCCAGAGGTTCAAATCCTAGCTCTGCCATTCACAGGTTCTGTAAGCTTAAATAAGCTTCCTCTTTTTTGATGAGAGTAAGTAGTTACAGCTCACAAGATAATATGAGTATCATGTATGATAATACATTTAGAGTTATATAGCTGGTTACATTATGTGGTCAATGCACAAGTCCATATCATTTCTTTGGATTTATTTTATGACATCTATCATTCCACAGAAAGTGGCCTAAGTTTGAAGACCATGCTTGTCTCAACAGTTTTATTAACAGCTGACTACTTTCAACGTCTGTGTGTAGTAGGTACTTACTTTCACTTAAATAACTGCATGATTTCATCCCATCAACACCTTTTGGCCTGCTATTACTTCTTTGGTCTTTAAAGAAGAAGTGGTGAATTCTAATATAGATACTGATCCATTTCAATTTTTCCAGTTTTCACAAACGCTTACTTTTCTTAACTTCAGTTTAATTATCTGTTAAATGATGCAAGTCTGTATTTAGCTAGCTAGCAGCTTCACAAAGACAGTTTCTAATTCATTGCTGCACAATAGTTTTAAAAATTTAAACTGAAGGAAATCATAGGTAAGAAGGAGGCCTAAAAGGCACAGTTCATCTATTCTTTCAGAAAATGCATGGTGTCGTGAATCAGGCATTGCTCCTAGTTGTTGGTGTGCAATCCTCATTCAATCCTTACAGCATACTAACCAGGTGGGAACTACAGTATTACTGACTACATTTTGCAGATGAGGAAACTGAGGCACAGGATTTATAGTCTGACCTTCACCCTGAACGTTTCACTGTGCTGTCTCTCTCGAGTTCAACCTAGACTGAATCAGAATGTCCATGTCCTCCCTTCTATCCCACAGTGTTACTTTTTTTATGAATTTTGTTTATATTAAGGAGGACTGGAAATTAAACACAGGGCCTTGTGCATGCTATGCAAGCATTCTTAACACATCCCCAGCTCATATTAAGCCTCAACTGGGTTGATAGGATGTTTCATATAAAAAACAGACTATCTTACTCACCACAGAGTCATTATTTATCGTGTCACACTCTGTACGAGAACCCCTATCTGGTAACTGTTTTGGAAATATTCTATTTATCTTTGACTGTTGGTTTGCTTTTTATCTTATAGATACTGTGAAATGTATAGCTGATCGTGTTTCCTTATTGCATCGTAAGACAGTTTATGCTTACGGCTGTAATTCCTGTCCCTAGGTTCTGTCATTAATTTCCTTTCCTTTCTTCTTCTCTTCCAACTTCTTACTTTATTGGTGAAAGTTGATATGATTACGTTTTGGAACAAAATGAGAATATGTAAACAGTCTCATTGCATCTTTATAAGATAGTTATTATTAACCTCCATACAAATGATGAAACTGGCCCTCCAAGGCATTTCAATAAAGCACTCAAGCATGTTCCACATAGTTTAGCACTTATCACGCTGACTTTCATTTGTAATCTGATTGTCCCCAGGCCACATACATTTGTGTGAAGAGATACATTCTACTTAGAGTGATCATTCCAGGTCACCCCCAGGAGCTGTGTGACTTTATGGAATTCATGTAATTTCTCTGTACTTGTTTTCTCATGTGTAAAATAGAAATAAAATATCCCTTTTACACAGGATAGTTGAGCAGATTGAATTAACTTATGTAAAGTGCTTAAACAGTTTCTGGGACATAAACATAATACACCATTTACCATCTTTTCCTCCCTTTCCTTTTCTTCCTCCCTCTCTACTGTTCCTTCTTAGCTCTTGACGCTATTGTTTAGATTCTCCAGTCCCTCTGTGGGGGTCCCCGGAAGGTCTCACTAGTGTTCACCATCAGTTTTCACACGTGCTTTCCCTCCAGCCTCTACCTTGGTTCTGCTTTCTTCAGTGCCATTTGAGAGTCCCACCCCAGCCCCAGCAGCTGCTGTAAGTACTGGGTCTAAGATGCTCTTTCTCAACACTTAAAAACACAGATATTTAAACTGTGTTTTTTCCTGAAGTCCTCACTAAGACATGCTTTTGTGTCATAACTACTAAGGTCCATGCTGTGCTCCTTGTGCACTGAGTTTCCTTCACCCCCTTATTCCATGGAAGGAAGCACATGTTCGTGGGGCTGGACCCTACCAGTACCTTGGATAGAGACACACTCTTCGCCATCCCCTTGACCCCTGTCTGCCACAGGAAACAATCCCTTCCCTTGTTCTTCTCTGGTCACTCCTCCCCACCCATTCACTAGCCACACAGTCGGATGGCAAGTTATTGGGGTTGGGGAGCATGTCTGAGAATTCCTTACCTTCACTGCACTTGGTTTGAGACTGAACTCAGAGGCAGTTCCCTAGAACAGTTGTTGACTGATTATTTAGCATTAGTAACTAATGGTCAAGCCAGAATGAGAAACCTCATTGGGGTAGGAATATTCATCACGTCAGGTAGAATGACCGAGCCCTTGAGTTTATTGAGAGCCATTCTGATTGCAGCACAGCAATTCCCACACCCCAGGAAAACCTTCAGTCCCAAGCAAACCAAGAATTGTCACCTACCGCTAGGATTACCCAGTATTTTTTAAAATTAACTGTATTGGTACACTTTTGACACATACAATGATCACATTCATAATAGGGAATTTGTACCTGTATATAATACATATCTCAATTCATTTTCTTCCCATAGCCTCCCTTCCCTTCAATCTTTCTTCCTCCTCCATTTACAAAACTGTTTCTATTGTTTTCCTCCCATTCTCCTTTATTTTTATCCCTATTCCTTTCCTTCCCTTTCCTCTCCCACTCCCTTGTTCCCTTCTGCATTGGAACATTTTCTTTGTAGACAGATATAGGATGGCCCAATGTGACATTTATCCCTACACTCCAGACCACATCACCTACCAGTGCTCACCCAACCTCGAGGTCCGTGCTGCATCCCACCACACCAGCACACTCCCGCAATCCGTGTCACTGTCACCCGGTGCCCTGCTCCCCCAGTCTGTACAAAGTCTATAAATTAGTGGTCCACAATGGCTCCAAACTTTATATCTTCTTGCTGAGCTTTATCACCTTCTCAGATATTGCTCTTTGTGATATTTACTTCTTTCTCATCGGCAGAGGGTCTGAGGTACTCAGCAGAAACACTAAGGTCTCATCCTCGAGAGAGGCTGTATTTTAGGAATTGCTGGCCTCTCCCTTCTGAATGTTCGTGGAATAGCAAGTCTTTAGTGCATTATCATTCCTGGGGAGTGACAGCCGAAGAAGTCCCTGGTGTGTGAGCTCCCCCTCCCTGCCTTGTTATCCTCCCACCGTTATAATTGCTTCTGTGTCACTGACATCTTCAGCCCTTCAACCAGTGCTCAACCCGGCACAGTCTCGCCATCTGCCGATGTGACACCAACATTATGGTCTCCCTCCATGCCTTCCTAAATGGGGCTGGGGAAGGGAGCAGAGATGGCAAGTGTGCCAGCTGGCACCAGTCACACAGATTTAGACAGTGACAAATCATGGCCCTGTACAGGGAGGAGAAATGGAGTACGCTGAAGGCTGTGCGGGGCCGTCAATGCAGAGGAGTGGACGCTACTCCTGGAAACACCACCGAGCTGTGTTGAATCTGTTCGGAACAAATATATCAACTTCTTTTTAATATAGGGTCACAAAAGCATGTTCAGTTGGAAATAAGACTGGAAATCAACATCTGAATTGTTCAATTTTTGCTCCTTTTGTGCCTCTAAATGGTATGATGGTGGATGCTCCGAGGAGTTTGACAAACTGTTAGAAAATGACACACATTCTGGCTGTTCAGAGAAAAAGCCAAGGCAACTTGATTTATGCTGATGGGTGAGTCCTGCTTCCTAAGCTGCCAAACCTGTATGCGCTTTGAGTTTCTGAGCGTCTCTGTTCTCATGTGCTACAATGGATTGATGGATTCATTCATTTTTCTCTAAACGCTGCTTCCAGAATTAAATCAGACAGCTATTAAGATTTTGGTTGATGATTGCTAAAGTTTTTAATTAATTATTTTTGATATATTTAATGTTAAGACAGTTCTGCTTTGTTCCTACTGTTTTATTTTGTAGAGTCCTCTCTCTGTATCCATGTTTGTTTTAGTTTGCTTCTTTTTCACTTTTCCCTTTTTTAAAAGGAAGTGGTAGCACAAAGGCATTCAATTCAAAATATCATACTGGCCCTTAAGAGGAAGATACATACCAATTTTGGTTTTGATTTCTTTTTTTGTACAAAATTTCCCATAGATCTTTCCTGTTCTCCAAGCAGACCTAAGAGATATTGAAGTCCAGTAACATGAATTAAATATACAAAAATCTCATATCAAGCCTGTGTGGAGGACAAACAAATCGAGAAGCAGTGACTCAAAACTGTTGAAATTCTAGTGTTTCATCTCCAAAACAAGGGGTCAGAGATTTAGCTCAGTGGTTCCACCACCTGTCTCGCAAGTGCAAGGACCTGAGTTCGATTCCCGGTACCAAAAATAAACAAACAAACAAACTCCTCATCTCCAAAACATTCAAGTCAACTAGCTAAGTTCCTTCCCACAAAGCCAACTCAGTTGACAAGCCACGCACAAAAGAAATAGAAACATCATAACGTTGTCTTTATAAACTACCTGTAGGCAAAAGCACCACTAGCAGTGGCAGCTTTGGGGCACCCATGTCTTAATCTTATAGGAAACATACTAATCCCAGTGTCTTCCCTGTTGCTGTAAAGAAAATAAAACTGAATGCTTGAAATAGCGAGGATGGCTGGCCTGACAGTTGGTAATTTTCTCTTGATGCCAATAGACAGCCTCAGGAATGGGGAAACATCAGTGGAGTGTGCAGAGATTATTGCATCCTCAGATGTTGTGATGAGAAAGCCACAGGGGTCCCCCTAGTAGGAACTTCCAGACATAAGAAGAATATTACCTTTGAGTAGCCAGAAACAGTCAAGTGCAACAGAGAGGGGATGGAGAGTATGATGTGTGACCTGCCCGGAGTGAAAGCCAAAGTGGTAACAGAGATGGCCAAAATAAACACCTTGGTATCAGATGGCTGGGAGTTTGTACTTGAGACATACTACAACTGGAAGCTATAAAAGGCTTCTGAGTTGAAGAAGAAAGGCACACAAAGGAAAATTGGAAGGATGTGGAGCATTATTAATACAAATAGCCCTTGAAGAAAATGATGCTTCTGCTGTGATGAGGTAGAATTGCAAAATTGTTATCCAGGAGAAGAGGCAGCGGTGTAAGGCTATGATTCAGTGAAGGGGCTAAAGCATAACAAAATGGATGTGAATGCCAAACAGTGCCTTTCTGCTATGGACCTGAACTGCTTCACTCTGCCTCCCCCATTTCTTTCCACCCTCTGGTAGAGTGTGCAGTTTTAATACTGTGCCATAGATCACTGTCCATTTTGGGATTTCTTTTTACCCTGGAAATTAGGAAATAGAAGTTTCTAGTCCTGGCTTTGACATTAACCAGCCATGTGACTTTGGGTTTGTCATTCCAGGTCTAGAATAAAAAATTTGGGCTTCCTAAACCCCCAAAAGATATGACTTCCCCCTCACTGCCTTATATATACTTCCAAACAGAAACAATTTTAAACTATACAAATATAATGACATTCTGCCAAGTTATGACTTTCTTCCAACCATGATTACTTTGATATCTCTGAACAAATATATTTTCTCCATTTTAATTACTCTACTTTTAGTTTCTCTATCTAAGCACATGTTTAGTTTCCTTGGTGGATAATCCCCGTGTGGTGGATTTAACTTACTGAACAGGTTCTATCATCTATGAAATGAAGGTTTAGACTGAAAGAATTCCAGGAATGGTTCTGACTTAAGAATCTACAATTTTGTGGTTCTGCTGCCTACCTCGCAAGCACAAGATCCCGAGTTCAATCCCCCCACACACACACACAAAAAAGAATCTACAATTTTACAACCTCAAAAGCCTGTTTTCTGTCCACCTTTATCACTTTCTTATGATGATATCTTGGTGTTAAAAAATAATATCATGTTTCCATATCCACTCAATTCCACATGCCTATGAAAAATGATACTTAGGAAAGAAGGGAAAAGAAAAAATAGGAGAAAATGATAAAATGGAAACAAAATTTTTGTAAATAGGGAAGAGAGGAGAGGGTGAAGGGAGGGCAGGGACAAGGGGAAAAAATGAGAACCAAGACCTGTCATGTAAAGGTACAAGATCCCATTGATGAATGTAACTGTACTGTATACCTAAGAAGTACCAAGAAACTCAATGAGAAAAAAAAGTACCAATAAACTTAATAAAGGAAAAAAGATAACTTTGGTGATTGTCTAGGCAATTTCTAATTCAAAATAAAAGGATAACTATGTCTCTTTTTATGTGTAAACCTTATGAAGATTATATTGATGCTAAGACATCACCAGCAAAGTCTCTGATTTCCTGGTAGAAAGTATTTTGGAATAAAAGCAAAGTCATTTGGGAAAAGGCTAAAAGTTATAACTAATGTCAAATACCTGACAATAATTTAGATTGTGATTCTGAAATTTTTTCTTAGCCCTTTTGGATTTTGGTTTTCCTGTTTGATCATTCATTCAGTCATCTGTTCCTGGTTCATCTAATGCTATTTTATAAGCTGCCTACCTCTGACATGCTATGGAATTTGTTAAGAAGTGATCTCACACCTACATGTTGGTAGCTGGTATACCACTGCCCTGTGACTTTTCACCTTTGTCCTAAGTGGAAACACTGCCTTCATTTCCATGCTAACACTGAGAGCAGAGTGGCAGATATATATATATATATATATATATATGTCTTTCTACAAGCCTGACTATGCTCTCTCTTTCAGATAGAAGCTGAATGTCATTTGCTGGAAAGTTTGTATAACAGATGTTACTGGGCAGATAAGCAAGCACACTCCCCCTCCCCAGAGCCCAGAGCATGCTGAGCCAGGCATGCACACACTTGCCAATACCAATACCAGGAGAGTTGCTGGGTGATGGAGGGCGTGTGCTCAGAGGGGCCAGCACTCCTCCGAAACCCTGCTAATGTCTCTATGTGGCCATGCTGTATTTTCAGCTTGTCATCATGGCTGGGACAGTGCTGCTTGCCTACTACTTCGAATGCACTGACACTTTTCAGGTGCATATCCAAGGATTCTTCTGTCAGGATGGAGATTTGATGAAGCCATACCCTGGGACAGAGGAAGAAAGCTTCATCACCCCTCTGGTGCTCTACTGCGTGCTGGCTGCCACTCCAACTGCTATTGTAAGTACAGAAATAGATTTCTGTCTCTGTTGTCAGATATAAGGGATCTTTCCTGTCTGCTTTTTCTCCCTTTTCCTCTCTTCTTGGGCATTTGCTCGCAGATTTATCACTTATCAGTGATGTCCTATTTCAGCCAGGAGTGACTGGAGCACTGTATAAAAAGTCATTAAAATACATCTTGATGGATGTTGGTTTTAGGTATCTGGATTTTTTAAAATGTGAGTTTTTAAAAAGCATGTATGAGTGTTACAAATCGACAGGCATAATTATCTATCATGTTAAGAATGGTTACTAAAAAAAGAATAGCTACTGTGATTGTGGAAAACTGTGCTGTGGGTTATGTATATTCAGAAGAGATCCTGACTATAAGACCTGGCACTGATATAAACACTCAGATCAAACTGGAGCAGAATCCCCTCAGCTAGAGTCTCCTGCTGTTCTGACTGAATTTCTGGAGAGGCCAGAGGTGAGATCAATTGCTTGACTCAAAGTTTTCGGTGACTCATTCTTGATGCCTCTGACTCTATTCATATTACATCACTTTCAATCTGTTGGACCTTTCTCTCCTCTGACTTCATTTTCTCTGATGAGGAAAAAAAAAAAAAAGAATTGGCCAGACAATTCTCTGGAGAGATTGTTTCAAAGCCTAAAGTGTGCAGAACTGTGTTATTTAGTTAGATGATGATTTAACCCTTAAGTGTTTTAATTTTTATTTTAAGTGACATTTTGAAGGAGTTTTGAAGTAAACACTTCTGTGTCTAAAGATGCTGCAGTGAAGATTAATCAGGGTGTAGCATCTACGTTACCTTTCCATCCTTGCTCTTCTACAGGAATAGCTGTTTCTGCAGCTCATCTACCTCTTCTCTCCTCTGCGTGCCCTATGTTCTCTTTTGGAGACAGTAATACAAAAGTACTGAGTTGCATGTTGAAGTGTGTACTGATTGCTCACACTTTCAGCCAAAATTTATTTTCAATAGCAAGGTTTTTGCATAAAAAGAGTTATGATTTTGAGAAGAAATGGTGTAGAAATAATGTCAGTACTTTAAATTCCTTTGGATTATTGATCTCATATTCAACAAAGTTCCCTTCTAAAGAATAAGACTATTCTTTGAGCACTTGAAATATCAGCGCTTCAGGAGTAGCACCGATAAACTACAACGTATCAGGATGTCTAGAAACACAAATTTTATAGCCCCACACACCTGGCTGTGTGACTTTGGGCAACTCATCTTACTGATTCCTCTCATACAAATGAAGATAATTGGCCACTGTTTCGTGAAGCTTAGAAATGACTTAGTATAGTGCCGGTCATGTACTAGGCGGTCAGAAGTGTGGAACAAAGAGCCTAGTTGGGAACCATTCTTCACCTTTCATCTGAAGAGACTGAGATTCCACTGAAAATCCCCATTGAAGTTCTTCTGCCACATTCTAGGGTGATGGGCAGTGGACTTTCCCCAGAAGGAAGCTAGCTGTATATGCCTCTTACCTCATCCTTTCTTACCAGCCTCAGGAATGAGAGAAAGTATAGAAGACACCCATTTATGTACGTCATGAGCCAACCCATTCGACTCCCCACTTCTCTCTCCAATGGTTTAAGGCTTGCTGTACTTGAAGACACTGGACTTAGTCTAAAATCAGATGCTCTTTATTCTTATCTCATAAGCATATCATTTTCCTGTGTTTTGGGACATGAATCTCTGAGTGATCCATTGACTTAAATATTTTTCTCTCTTCTGTTTAATCATAGGAAGTATAGATTCTCCTGTAATTATTTTTATAATTATTTTTCCATTAAAACAACTAAGAAAAGGGAAATTGATCAATAAAAATTATGAGCAAAAGTCAAGTATAGTGGCAAATGCCATTAATCTTAGCACTTGGAGCTGAGACAGGAGGATTAGCATTTTCAAGGTTAGCCTGGGCTATACAGCAAACCTCTGATTTATAAACAAAACAAAACAAAAATTATAAGCAGAAAATTAGAATTTAAAAAACAGTAGAATTGATAATAAAACCAGGCTAATTCTTTGATAAGTAAAGTATATCTCTTTCTGGCTAGTTTAATCTAAGGAAGGCAAAAGTAAAAACAGTTTTTTTAAAAGTCTACATTAATTTCAATGTAAATTGTATGTATAATTCTATGTTGATAAATGCTTACATCTCAATAAAACTGATATTCTATGAGAGATAATTTACTTAACAATGCCTTAAAAAGACGTAGCAAAGCTCAACAGATGAATAACAATATAATATTCTAAACATGTCTAGTCAATCTTAAAAAATTGTGCCAGGACATTTAGTTATTGAATAATTTCTTCTACACATTTGAGGAATGAAAAATCCTAGACAGTGTAAAATTTTATAGACACCAAAACAAAATGGAATGCTTTTCACTGCATAGAACAAACAAAATTGTGGCTCTCCAACACTTAGAAAGTACACATAAAAGCTTGCAAAGGAACCCTCAGTAGTAACAACAGCCTCACGTAGGAGTGTTGATACAAAAATACAGAAAATGAATTGGTAAATTTATCTACCTAAAGATAAAAAAGTTCTGTCAAAAGTAAGGTAAATAAAGACTACAGCAAAAATTTTCAGGGCCGGGCATAATGGCTCAAACCTGTAATCCCAGCACTTGGGAGGCTGAGGCAGGAGGATCACTGTGAATTCAAGACCAGCCTTGGCTACATAGTGAGTTCCAGGTTAATCTCAACTACATAGTGAGACCAAAAACCCAAAATAAATAAGTAAATAAATAATTAATTAAAAGGTTTTTCAAGGCATGAGATTGAAATGTAAATATACTTTAAAAGGTGAGCTTCTCAAAGTAAAAACAAGACAAGAAATAGACTATGAATGTGAACATTTCTAAATTCATGCATAATCAAAGGAAAGTAATTTTTAAATCCAAAACACTTTCCCAGGATAAAATTGGCATATGTTTTAAAGGAGCACGGTACATTTTTGTTGTAGATGCAGATATTTTCATACAATTCCTTTCAAAGTGTAAGCTATTTTATTTCTGAAAAGCAGCTTATGAAAGTTTTATTAAGAGCTTCATAATCTTTACATACGATCATTAATTCCACTCCCTGGATTTATACTATGGAAATGGTCAGAATTTTATGCCAAGATTTGTCTTTGGGGATGTTTATCTCATCCATCATTTTAATAGTGAAAAACTTGGAGCTAGCTAAGTTCATAACACTAAAGAATTGGTTAAGTACCTATAGGTGGTCATATTTTTAAAACACCTTAAATGGGGATGTAATCTTCTCATGATATAATGTTAAGATTTTTAAATTTTTAAAGTTTTATTTATACATGTTTGTAGTTCATGTTGTTTATAATTGTCTTGGGGAATGGTTACATGTACATGTTACACTACGGTTTGTTCTTCTGTTCTGTTTTCTTTCTTTATTTCTTTCCCCTTCTCTCCCCACTCCCAGTTCCCATTTTTCATTCCTGTTGACATTACTTGTCTTAGCTCATGCTGTAGCCTATAATATTTCCATTAAGTGGGCTTAGTTTCCTGGACATGGCATATCTTTCTTCTTATTTCTCCTTCCACCCCTTCCCCTTCACCCTTGTTCCCTTGGACCACTTCCCTATTGCAAGAGATCCATCTTCTTGTTCCTTTCTAGTAATCCTTTATTTTCACTTTTCCTCATTCAAATGAGAGATACCATATGGTATTTAAGCTTGTGTGTCTGATTTATTTCACTCAATATTATATTTTCCAGGTACATCATTCATTGTTGGGATCATGTACCTTTACATGGCAAGTCTTGATTCTCATTTTTTTCCCCTTACCTCTGCCCTCCCTTCACCCCCTCCTCCTCTCCCCATCTACAAACACTTTATTTTCATCTTTTCATTCTCTCACATTTTTTTCTTTTCCCTTTTTGTTCTTCCCCTACGTATCACACCTTCCCTACACCTTTAGCTAAAATCATTTCTTTATCCAATAATCCTTTGATGAGTTTACAGGCTGCTTTCAGGATTTAGCTATTACAAATTGTGCTGCTATGAACGTTGGTATGCATGTATTGCTATAGTATGATGATTTCAGCCCTCTGGAGAAGATATCTAGCAGTGGGTTAGCTGGATCATATGGAATTTTTAATTTCAGTTCTTTGAGACATCACCGTAATTGTGGTACTAGTTTGCATTCCCAGCAATAATGAAGGAGGATTTTTTGTTTTGTTTTGTTTTCACTGAAGACACACCAGCAATGGTTATTACTTGATTTCTTAGTGATTACCATTCTTTCCAGAGTGAGATGAAATCTTAGTGTTGTTTTAACTTGCAGTTTTAATGGGCAGAACATTTCTGGATTTCTTCCTCTATGAAGTGTCTATTCATTTCTCTTGCTCATTTCTTGACTAGGACTTTAATTTTGGTGATTTAATTTTTTTTAGTTCTTTGTTTATTCTAGATATTAACCTTATGTCTGAGGAGTAGATGGCAATTATTTTTTTTTATTCTGTAGGTTGTCTCTTCACTCTACTGATTGATTCTTTTGCTATACAGATTTTTAGTCTGAAATAATCTCCTTTGTTGATTCTTGCTGCTAATCTTTTGTGATTAAGTTCTGTTTAGAAAATCCTTTCCTAAATGAAAAAATGGAAATAATGTTTGTATATGGGGAGGGTAGGAGCAGGTGAAGGGATGGCAGGGACAAGGGGAAAAAATGAGAACCAATCCTGTCATGTAAAGGTACAAGATCCCAATGATGAATGTAACTGTACTGTATATCTAAAATGTACCAATAAACTCAATGAGGAAAAAAAAAAGAAAATCCTTTCCTTCAACAGAAAAATTGTATATGATATTGTGGGTAAAATCTTCTTTCCTTGTATAAGAGAATCTCACCATCTCTTAGTTTTCTGCCTCTGTTGCCCTAGAATAAGATGATATGTTTTGACTAATTCATTAGTCAACATTGACCTCTGATTGGCGAATTACATCTATTCTCAGAGAACTATTATTGCCTGAGG